TTAAATCAAAATGATGTATTGTATTTAAACAGGTCAAGTGATATTGATAAAAAAAAATTGGCATTTATGTAAAAAAAAACAAAAACTAATTCAACGACCCCAGTACATTAAAAAAAAAAATTGAATTTTTTATGTGCGTATATAAATAAACTTTTATAAACGTGTCGACCTTTGTAAATACGGACGTCCAGACATACAATTAGAAAATAAGAGGTACCTATAAATTTAGATTTTATCGGCAATTTCTAACATTTTCTCAACAAGTGTTATCGTAAGTAAGGCTATAAAGAAAACGTATCTAAAATTCAATAAAATATCTTAAAATCGTTAGTTAAAAAAAAAAAAAAAATTAAAAGGCGTTTTTTTCACATTGTATTCGTCATGTTTATTTTATTGTTAAAAAATTTCTCAAGCATCAGGCTGTCAATAAATCACTCAATACGTCAAAAAAAAAAAAAAAAAAAAAAAACCCGCCTTAAAAAAAAAACAAAAACACCCCGCCTTAAAAAAAAAAAAAAAAAAAAAAAAAATGTTTTTCGGAAAAGTTAATTTAACTTTTCTCTTTCTGCGATATTTTAAACTTAAAGTAATATTTGTTTCACATTAAGATTAATTAAACTTTAAATCAGCTAATTTTTCCACAAATAACGTTTCAGAAAACTAAAAAAAAGTATATTTTATTTTTGAAAGATTTTCTTGAACTTTAAAAAAAAATCTTTCAAAAATAAAATATACTTTTCACTTCAGCACATCTCTTTAAATTTTAAAATAATAAAAAATAATAATAAAAATCTGTTACTATAATCGAATTTATCGATTTTGCTGACAAGTAGAAAAAAAAAGAAAATTCCAATCATGAAACGGATTGAATTGGAATCTATTGAATTCGGTTTTATACCACCAAAGTATTAGGGAATTAGTTTGGAATTAAATCTAAAAAAAATTAAAGTGAAAATTCTAGAATTGAGATGCGAGTAGTAGTTTCAATTCAAACTATCTCATCCTTTTTTTTCTTCTCCTGGATAAAAAAAACCAAAAAACAAAAGAAAAAAAAACCCCAATAAGCTAAAAAGGAGATAGACCCAATTAAATAACACTTCCCTAGTTTAATCATGACGTATTCCTTGTCTAATCTAACCTCAAATGGTTACTTAGTACAAGACTGATGAGAAGTCCTTCACCCTCATTCATTGGTGTCCGCATTTCTCCTGGCTTTGAAACCAGAGATGAAAAAATGTGAACTCAAAAACGCGTATGCACAAATCAACATTGTTTTTTATTCAATGACACGAATGTGATTTTATTTTCAAACATTCCACAAAAGGATTTATCAACCGAATCTCCATTAAAGAAAAAGAAAAAAAGATTACACATTTTCTATGGATGCTTTTAAAAATGAATGAATCACATTGAATAGGGTTGCCAGACGTCCCTTTACAGAACATGTCCCGTACTGGACATTCAAAGATACCTCCAGATATCCCGTATTTAGTTCATTTTCAAATTACGTAATAAAAAATATTTTTACTACTTTCTTACGGTTTCTTGGTTTATACTTTATTTTCTCAAATTTTCTTGCTTGATGAAAATAACGAACCCAATGTAACAAGGAAACTAGTGTTGCTAGTTTACATAAAAAATGATTTCTCTGTTGTCTGTATTAAAATAAATATTTTCAAATGATTTCACTTTTACAGAATTTCTTACTTAGCTTGTATTAGATAATTTTCAAGTGATTTTATTTTTACTCATAATCCATTAAAATCATTGCTTTATGTCGTTTCTCTCCTATTGGTGTGTGTGTGTGTGTGTGTGTGTGTGTGTGAGCGAGAGATTTTAAGAGTGTGCCGTATTTCTAATTTTCTGATCTGGAATGAATGAACAAACAAACAGTATCAGGAATTGAAACAAAAAAAGTTGAAATGAACAGAAAGTATGACTAGAAGGTACGGAGAGAGAAACAAACAAAAAAACAAAAAAAAAAAAACAAAAACAAAAAACAAAAAAAAAAAAAAAAAAAAACAAACCCCAAAAAAAAACAACAAAAAAAAACAAAACAAAAAAGGAGATGATGATCAATGTTTTGTGGTTGGAAGTGGCCTGATACCAGTACCCACGGGTAGGAACTGGGTGACAGCCTAACCTAGGATAGGGATTTCAGAATATTTGTTGAGAGGCTAGAACACAGTCCGAGCAAAAAGTCACTGATCATGTTACACAAGGAACATGACGAGAAATATCAGCTGAGATTGGGGTGCGGGGGGGTGCGGATACGAGAGGACGGAGACGGTGTGGTTGGATGGAATTGTTGGGAATAAAAAAGCAATTAGCTGAAATCTGTAAAATTTACCAAATAAATAATTATTATGGGTATTAGTTTTTAATAATTAGAAAAAATAAAATAAAATAAAGTTTAGACACAATTCCAGGTCAATGTGCACTTCTTATCCCTAACTGTAATTCTCTGTTAATTATATAGGCTAAATGCTAATCGTTGTGACGCCCATTTTCAAACCGACTTTTGATGGTTTGGTAGACAATAGACGTATGTATACCTGGGAAGCATATTAACAAAGGATGGAAAGTGTGACACGGAAATCTGAAGGTGCATTGGGATTGTGAAAGATGCCTTTCAAAAGCTAAGTAAAGTATAACCCCCCCCTAAAAAACAGAAAAATATTGTTAGAAACAAAGAAAAGAGTACTAAACTGTTATGTAGTATCAGTCCTCCTCTATGACAGTGAATGCTGGGCAATTCCCTCATAGATGATAAAGAGACATGAAGTAACAGAAATGTGGTTCTACAGAAGGATGCTGAGAATACTATGGACCAAACATGTAAGTAATGATGAAGCTCTAGAGACAATGGCAACAAAAAGGGACTGCATCAGGAAGAGACAATTGAACTTTCTGGGACACATAATGAGGAAAGAAGGCTTGGAAAATTTCATACTCGCAGGACAGATTGAAGGTAAGGGGGACAGAAGAAAGTAGTGCATAACCTACCTGGCAAGCCTGAGCGAATGAATGGGGGAACAGGGTTTGGGGTGGAAAAAAGACAAGTGAGGTACAAAGAACAGGAAATTGTGAAGAGCCATGATTGCCAACGTCCTGAAGGGACATAGAGAGGATAGATGATAAACAGGAAAGATTAGTTAATATGAAATTAAATATTTATTTTTTAGTTCCAGATTCATTTATGATTTAGGCAATCATCACTCTCCACAGCTTACTTTTCTTTATTATCTGAACTGCCATGCATTCTTGGAAGAGATAGTGGAGTAATTTTCCATTGCTTTCTCTATGGTCTTGAATTCAGAGTAACCATTTCTATGATGTTCATTCAAGACATAGTGCTCTACAAGTTCCTTTTCTTTATTAAAGGTATGACTTTGTGCAAAAAACAGTGAAGTGGTTTCCCTGTTGACTTTAATTCAGAATTGTCATTCTTAATCTGGCTACTACCCAATGCTAGAGAGCCATGTCATAGTTTATGATGGTGGGGATACATTCATGCCTTTTTGACTGGAATTAGTGTGAAAATAAATGCAAGTGACTTGGAAAGGATGTGAACTCAGTTTGCCGATTCCACTTTCCAAACTAATAACTGTAACACCACCTGCACATCTTTTACTATGTAATTCCTAGATGCATACGAAAGAAACCTCCTCTATCTCCAACAAAGGCAAAGTTTGAATGACTTCTAACACTAATTGTAATTATAGATAATGAAATCTACAGATAAATATGAATGACACCTAGATAAAAAATAGTATCTTGCTCTCACCTCACAAATACCAAATAAAGTTCGAATGAACTTTAAAATTGGCTAAGTTAACCTAAAAAGAAACTTAGCAAGAAAAGTGATATTAGTTTAAGATTCTAAGATGTCGATTGATTGATTTGTTTTTACAGTTTATCAACCCATTGTGAGTTAAAGCTGAAACATATTTTTGATTGGTTGATTTTGTTTATCGCAATATCAACCTCTGAGTTATTTAATGCTGAAATGTAAATATTTTGCACATAATTTCATACTTTCTGGGTAAATGTGTTTTTTTTTCATTATATAGTTTGGAAATAAAATGTTTATTTGTTTAGCTGCATATCAACTTATGGGTCATTTAATACCAAAATTTAATTTTTTGGGGAGCATGAATAATTTTTTTTTTTACAAAAATGTATTGATGGTATTTTTTTTTACTATGAAAATGTCTTCATACTTTCATAGTGTTTTGACCCCAGTTTGGGGGTTAACTATTTGCCTATAGTTGGGACTCTAACAGGTGCTACCAACCTGGGTCAGAGTGGACCTAGGAACAACAGCAATTAAGAGGTGGTTCCATGCTTCTCAAAACCTCCTGATCAGAGAGGCCTTGCTGCCAAATGTAGTTTATCATCATAACCAGGATGCCATACTTTTGGATTGTAAGAATAATTCTATTCATTTTTTTGCAAGTGAATGTTGCATTGATAAGTTTTCAAGAATAACTGATTTTACAGATACAAGCCCTACTATATAAACCATAGAAGATGGTTTAATACATTTCCAAGGGTATTCATACATAAGCAAATGTAATGAACTTGGCTGGAATTTGATCTCAGCTCTCCGATTTCTCATTCTGAAACACTATCCACTACACCACCTGCACATCCACAAAATTCTAAGATGAAGTATTTTTACTTTTGTTATTAGTTTTAATTAGCTGCTTGATACTTATAAAATTACTTTTTAATGAAAAGTTGTCAGCTGATCCATTCTTTTCGATACTAAACTATACATTTGGAATAAAAATCAGAGAGTTAATTACTGTATTAGGGTACACATACTTATTGATCTACTTGGTATCAAACTAATTTTTCTCTTATAAAAACACTCATCACTCAACCAACTCCAGGAAGGTGTTGTGACCTGTTCTTCCAGAAGCACTCCATATATCAATGTTTAATATAAGTAGTGAGATTGTATCCATAGCCAGCTTGCTAGGCCTGACATGGAGCTTGTAGCACCTGGTGTTCCCCAGCGGTCACTCATCTGAGTACTGACCAGACCTAATGTTGCTTAACTTTGGAGATCAGACAAGAACTGATGTTTCAACATGATATGGCCATAAACCTCATAAGAATTAGTTAATATTAGTTTGCTTATAAATCCAAATGACTATAAAGCACCTATTCCTCTACCGATTCTCAAAAGAGACAATAAATGTATAATGGTCATAGTAGCCTTTCCTTATGTGGAAACATTCATCATTTACTGACCAAGCAACTGGTGTGACTCAACTTACACTTTTCTTCTCTCTGTGGGCTATCAGACTGGGATCATAATATAGTATCTGTTCTCTTCATCTGTAATGTTAATGGTGACCGAGAGTGAGTGTACTGAGCATGTTCCAGAACTGCTCACTACAGATTATGTGCTATCTCTCTCTCTCTCTCTCTCTCTCTCTTCCAGAAATTATAACTAAGGTCTGTTCAGCATAGTTTCAGTCTAAACTACAGGTTGGCTCTGGGTGTCAAAATGCACATGTGCCTGAGCAGGCATCTGCAACAAGGATTAGCAAACCCCTCTAGCAGTTGGGCTTACTCAAAAACAAGCAGCCAACAATTACATTACACACACAATGTGAAAACTTGAGTTATTTATTTTCTTAAAGCTGAAGAAAAACATCCTTCATTCATTTTTCCAACAATTCCCAAGGTTTTGGTGTTTTTTGAAGAATTTAAAACTTATTTATTTTACCTACTTATCCTATTCCTGAGAATTATTTGAATTGAATATACTCTCCATCAGCTGACCATAATCAGCCAATTGACCTACTAGTTATTAACTCCAGCATCAAATATTTTATAAGTGATAGAGGAAGGAAGTTAGTGACAGAAATTTTAAAAGTTGAATATTTTTCAATTTATACTATGACAGTGTTGTTTTTTTCGTTTTTTAAAAAAAGTAAAGAAAATAAATAAATTTACCCAAAGCTTTTTACATTCATAGATTTATCACCGAGCTCATGAAATACAAAAAAAAATTCTTTGCCGAGTTTTAAACTTTAATTGAAGTCCAGTTTTGATAAACTGGATCATTTGGGATGACAGAGGAAGAATATATATATTTTTTTTTTTTACTAATGATCCAACACAAGGCCCAAGAGCCATTGAATGTAGAGGGTTAATGTGTGGACATATTACTCTTATTTTTATTGTTTTTTTTATGTTGTTACTTTGCTTGTTATTTGGCCTGCTGTTGTATGGTTTTATATATGCTTTTGTTATAAGCCCTATGCAAAGATAGTGGTAGATTAGTTTGCATTTTAGATGAGGATGTGCAGGTGGTGCAATGGATAGCTGCTTGGAATGAGAAATCAGTCATTACATTCATTTACATGCAAATACCCTTAGGGAAAGGTATGAATCCATCTCTTTAGCAACTTATAACCCTAAAAAAATTCAGTCAATCAGTTATGTGCCATAAGTGATCATGTATCTTTCGATACATGACTGATGAGGCAGATTTTTTTCTTGCAGTAGGTTGCCATTTCTTTCTGCAGTAGACCAGTTGCCATCCAAGACTATAGAATCCGATCTGTCCTGCTATTTACCCATAGCTGGGGGAGAAGAAGAGGATTCATACCTTTCCCAAGGGTATGAGCATGTAAGTGAATGTAATGGATTTGACTGGAATTCGAACTTTGTTCTTTGATTTCACATTCTGAAAACATTGAACACGGGTCTTTGTTCTACTACTTTAAAAAAGAAAGATCATGTGTTTTGTAGAGAAAGCAAGCCTGAGTGTCAGATTACACATGGACATATGATGAAAACATTTGGTCAGTGAATGCAGCCTGTTGGAATGAGTGACTTGTGCTACTCTGACAGCAAATGATTCCAATTGTTGTTAATAACCAACTGTACCAATCTTGATGTAAGCTATATAAAGTCTTATTTTTAATCAACATAAACTGAATAGTCAACACTTGTTTGATTTAACTGCTATAAATTCTAAAAAACTACTGCATATTTGTAAGTGTTCTGAAAGCAAGGGAAATGTTTGTCGCAGATTAATGCCACAATGCAGAAAACAAATCACTGTAAGTTCAGACTCAAATATCGGGGGCAGAAAGAAATGCTGAAAACTCAATTCACAGGTACTATCTCACAAATCACAATGCACGTAACCAGTCAGAAAAATAACTCACTCTGACGAACGCGGTAGCCAAAATACATCAATTTTTCCCAATTCAAGAACACCAACTGCTTTTATTGGCCGAGCATTTTTTTCATTCATCGACAACTGGGAGAGGACGCCAAATTTTTGCACATCAAAATACTTTTATAGAGACTCCTGCGATGGACTTGTTTTTAATCTAAATATTCTGTCTTTAGCATGTCATGCAGAATACGTGCCCTTTTTTTGGTAATTTTCTTTTCTGTTGTAGGATACACGTGATGTGCTGTTGCTTGGTTTGACGAGGTAAGTTATTATAAACAAGAGATGTTTTTTTCCAGAATTTTATAGCTCAAAGTTAGGGGTGCATATTATAGACAAAAAATCATGGTATCTGAAACGAATAGAATCTCCACTGACAAGTCAGAAGGATAAAGAACATTGAAAATTTGATTGAAGACACAAGCAGCCAATTGACCTCCAAGTCATTAAATTTCATATCAAATATTTTACAAGTGGGGAAGGAAGTGAGTGAGAGTGATTTAAAACTTGCTGAATACTTTTCAATTGATAATCAACAGCATTATAAAAAAAAAAGACTTAGAAATACAAAATGTCTATAGTAAATGATTAGCCTTTTTTTAGTTTTATGGATTTGTGCTTACCAATTAAAGGATATTTTATTTTCATTTATTTATTTGAGTTTTTATGAGGATCTGATCTGCTGATAAGTTCTTGGCTGAACCCACTCTGCAAAATATTGGCTAAAAAGTTTGTTTGGTTATTAAGTAGAAAATTTACTTAATAAGCTGAATGAATCTAAGTAGGAACTTAAACTTCAGTTAAAAAGGATATGAAACTAGAGGAGCAGTCTACAAGGTATATGACAGGAGGGGCAGTCCATAAGGGATACGATAGTGGAGGGGCAGTACACATGGGGTAGAACACAGGAGGAGTGGTCCATCCACAAGGGTTACAACACAGGAGGGGCAATTCACATAGGATAGTACATTCATTTGTTTTTTAAAGAAATGACGTTTCACTTAATGAAATTGATCACACAAGTTGCTTTTGTTTTAACTGTATTTAGAATAACATCTTGCATTACTCTGTTATAATATCATCAGATTTTAAAGGATCAGTTCTCATATAAAATTGTACTGAAACCACAAGAGATTATATTTAGAATAACAGTTACAAATACAGTATAGTCTCTGATGACATATAAGGCCCTATTTACTTGAAGAAGGTTATATGGTACAACTGTTAAAATGTTATGACTACAAACAAACAAGATAAGGACACATGTCTTAGTAACTTGGTGTATAAAAGAACTAAAGTTCAAAAGTCTAACTTTGAAAAAAATAAAATAGATAAATAAAATAGCACTTCTATGCAGGAAACTGTTCTAGAAATACATCTAGTAGGAAATCCTTTCCCCTATCAAATAAATTATGTATCTTAAGAAGGCTGAAGAGTGTATCAACCAAAATGGAGTAATAAAAGCAACATGGATGAAAATAATAATCTGGAAAAGTCATAGATTAAAAAAAAAAGTTTATAGTTGCAGTCTATTTATAACAGTGAGTCTCAATCAAGTTCCTTTTTTTTTGCCTATGCACCCTTTTCACTATATTTCAAACTTGTCTAACTTAAAAAAAAAGCACATTGCAAAATTGTATTTTGTCCAAAGAGTAATATTCCAACAAATTTAATCTCCAAATTTCAAGTTCCAATTCCCTGTTGAAATCTAAAATTATTCCCAAGAAGAGAATCACTGATTTATAGTATGTTGTATAAAATAGAAAGAAAAAAAACAACCTTTTACTTGAAGGCTATAGGTTTTTTATAATAATTCTCTTAGTTCTAAATATAGCTACTAAGACATTTAGAGTGCCTGACACTTGGGCATTAATGTAAGTCAGTCAATGATTCCAGGTGAGTTTCAGTCAAGATCAATGAAAAAGGAACTTGTGATCAAAGTACATTGAAGGAAACTGATCAAAGTAGATCACTATTGATTAAGTCACCATCTTTAGGAAAAAGTAAAATTTATTTATGCAAGAGTCACAAACTAATTTAAAATTATTGAATTTCAACACAGCATTCCAACTCTTTTCTAAACCAGTTGATTTTCTTGAAAATCTAATATTATGAAGAAAGAGAAAATGAATAGACATTGGTTGCATGAGTGGGGGGGTAGTAAAAGTTCTTCTCAGCCTAACTCATTTAATAAAATCTGAAACAAATGTCTAAACATTAGATTTTTTTAAATTTCTTTTGTGAGACAAGAAATTTTCAGCACCACTTGTACAGTCAGAACACTGAAGTGAGTATTTTAAATAGATTATATCTAGTCTGAATTTTTATTTTAAAACGAAAGAAAAAAAAACGAAAGAAAAAAAAAAAAAGAAAAAAAAAAAAAAAAAAATAAAAAAAAAAAAACGAAAGAAAAAAAAAACGAAAGAAAAAAAAAGGAAAGAAAAAAACGAAAGGAAAAAATGAAAGAGAAAAAAGAAAGGAGAAAAAGACATAAGGCATAAGTGAATATGACCAACCCAACTGGATTTGGAACTTAGCTCTCTGATTTCCAATTCTGAGACATTATTCATTACACTACTTGCATATTCAAGCGGTCACTAACCTAGGTACTGACCAGGCTCAATGTTGCTTAACTTTGTTGATCATACAAGAACCAGTGTTTCAACATAAGGCCATAAGCCAAAAACCTTATGGAAGAAATACAAAATATGTGGAACGTCATAAAGTATGTATATTTGAATAACTTTGAATTAAAGTTATATTCAAACCCTATCTAAATATCAATGTGAAGAAACACAATTTACTGAATTTGAATTAAATTATGAATTCGACTAAAAACTTGAATTTTAATTTATATCAAATTTTTATAGATTAGATTTTTAAAAAAAATCTTTAACAAATATAAC